ATAAAAGACAAAAGAGAACTGTCTTCCAACAATTCAGCTATTATTTTGTTTTAATTTTGGGCTTAAAATTGATCTTTTCTTCTTCTCATGCAGTTCATCCTGACTGCAGTTCCTCCTCCCTCCACTCCTCCCAGTCCCTGCCCCCAGAATATGCCTTTCTTGATGGACTCCAAATTTCACAAGGGCAGGGACCATGCCTAATATACTTAGAATTATATATTTAGCAGTTCCTGGGTTCTCAGTCTCTCTGTTGATGGACACCAACCTGAAAGGCACAATTAAGGTGAGTGAACACTGACAAAAGGACTGCCACCCAAGTCTTGGGCAGAGAGGAAGGAAAACCCATGAGCCAACCCTGAGAATGGGATGCTCCAGGTGTAGAAAATTGGCTTCTCAACCCTGAAGTGGAAACAGTAGGAGTCAAAAGAGGCTTCCTACGAGTGATGATTGCGGAGTTGGATCTCGGAGGAAAACCATGGATTAGTGGGCCAGAGCTAGGAAGGCATTTCTGCAAGGCCAGACTGGGCTGAGCACAGAGACAGGGACGGACGGCGTGGAGGTCGGCTGGCTGAGCATGGCTGCAGTCAGAAATGACAGGCTTGGCCTTGTTGAGTTCTATCTGAGGGCAGTGGGATGCAGCTAAAGGTGGAGAGAGTCAAATGCGTGCAATTGTGGGAACTCCCGTGCGACTGCGATGTGAAGGCTGGATTTGAGAGCAAACAGTAGCAGTTTACTAAAATAGTGTTAGGGAGAAAGGAGGAAGAAAGGAGGAAAGCATTGTCTGGATCAGGGTTCGCAACCTTCCTAACATTGTCATCTGCTAATACAGTTCCTCATGTTTCAGTGACCCCCAAACATTAACATTTTTTAAGAAAGACCTATTTATTATGTGTACAATGCTCTGTCTGCATTACAGCCTCACACCAGAAGAGGGCTCCAGATCTCATTATAGTTGGTTGTGAACCATCATGTGGTTGCTGGGAATTGAACTCAGGACCTCTGGAAGAGCAGGCAGCTCACAGTGCTCTTAACCTGTGAGCCATCTCTCCAGCCCCCAAACATAACATTTTTGTTGCTACTTCATAACCGTAATTTTGCCACTTTTTTGAATTGGACCACTGTGAAAGGCTCATTCGAGCCCATGGGTTGAGAATTGCTGGTCTTGATAAACAAAAATTCATTATGGGTATGATGAAGAGGGGATTTGAGTGTGTAGGGAAGGTAGCTGTGTTGGGATTTGGAGACCGCCGACTACTGGGAGTGAGGCAGGAACAGTGCTAGTGTCTGGCATCATAGGCCACATTTGTTGAACCCTGAGGTACCTGGCCCTGTGCTAAGTGCTATATACCCACTGTCACTAAAGTCTTATCCTGACTCCTGACGTAGAGACCCTTTTTTATGCCTTTTATACCCTTTTATACCCTTTTCTCATCAATACCAAGAGACCTCTTGGTATTGATGAGAAAACCGTGACTCAGAGACGTATTTCCTTCATCGGTCACCTGTAGCCAAGGCTTACCCCTGGACAGGGAGACTTGGAAAGCCACATCTTTGTACTCGCTGTTCCTCCCAGGCTGTCTCACTCCCCTGGTAAAGATGCCTCTTCTCCAGGGTAACGGCTGAGTAGAGGAGAAACTGAAGTGCCACTTCATGGAGCTTAGGATAAGCTAAGGTGGAGAGGCCAGGGACTGGTTACTCTGTGACATCCAATGGACATTCATCTGCTGCCCTTAGTGGGCATCTCTAAGGGAGGCTTAGAGGGAGACGTGG